TCTAGTCTTACCAACCAGTTGAGTTATGGTCTCTGACCTTGTTCCTGTGACACAGAGGACCTCATGTTCACTAATGTGAAAGCTATGCTTTCTAAGGCTGACTTCAAAGCCAAAATCCACTCTCATTCCAGAACTTACTCTTCCTTTCACTTCTCAAACCCATGGTGTAATGTTCCCAGGTTCTCTGCCTCTGTGGTTTCTCAGTTCCCACTGTGGAATGGCTTGCTTTTGAAGGCAACCTATGCTCAACAAACCTTCTTGGTTGTTTTTATTTTTTTCCCTTAAAAGAGTATGTTCTTAGCCCAGTGACTCACTGTTATAATCCTAGCTTTCTGGGAGGCTGAGATCAGGAAAACTGTAGTTCAAGGCCAGCCTGGGCAAATAGTTCCTGAGACCCCCATCTCCAAAATAATCAGAACAAGATGGACTGGTGATGTGGCTTAAGCACTAGAGCGCCTGCATTGCAAAGCCCTGAATTCAAATGCCAGTCCCACCAAAAAAAAAAAAAAATCTTGTTCTCTGTAGGCTTATTAGAGTCTTTTTCCTTACACAGTACTCTGATTTTTTTCCTTTATTTCAAACATTTATTAAAAACATAACCATGGGGCTGGAGGTGTAGCTCAGTGGTAAAGTGTTTGCTTAACATGTGTGAAGCCCTGGGTTCAATTCCACACATCACAAAACTATGTATCAAGAATATATAAAATGAGCTGGGTGCTGGTGAATATGCCTATAATCCTAGCTACTCAAGAGGCAGAGATCAGGAGAATTGAGGTTCGAAGCCAGCCCAGGCAAATAGTTTGAGAGAGCCTATCTTGAAAAAACCCATCACAAAAAAGGGCTGGTGGAGTAGCTCAAGGTGAAGGCCCTGGGTTCAAGCCCCAGTACTACAAAAATAAATAAATAAAAATAAAAAAGGGCTGGTAGAGTGACTCAAGGTAAATGCTCCAAGTTCAAGCCCCAGTACCACAAAAAATAAATAAATAAAATAATACATAAAATGGCTGGGCATGTGGTTCATACCTGTAATCCTAGCTTCTCAGGAGGCAATAGTCAGGAGGATCACAATTTGAGGCCAGCCTGGGCAAATAGTTCGAGAGACCCATCTCAAAAATAACCAACACAAGAAAGGACTGGCTCAAGTGGTAGAGTGTCTGCCTAGCAAGCATGAGGCCCTAAGTTCAAACCCCAGTATCACCACACAAAAAAAGAATATGTAAAATGGAAAACCCTAACTTACTGAAGGTCTCATTTTCAAAGAAAAGGCCTTGGGGTTTAGAGATTTTGACTCGAACATTATTTCTTTAACAAGCTTCCTAAGCCATCACTTGCACTTACACCCAAAGTGCCTTTCAGCACAAGCTCGGTGGCTACTTCTGCAGCACACTGAATGAAGAGAAGAACAGAGGCCCAGCGAGGAGTCTAAGCCTGAGGCCAGCCTGGGATATGTGGAGGCCTTGATTCAGAGAACCAAAAAAAGAGACAGACAGAGGAAGGAAAGAGGGAGAGGGTGAGAGAGGGAGGGAGGGATGAAGGAAGAGAAAGAGAGCCAAAAGAGAAGAAAAGGAAAGAAGGGTGAGAGAAAGGAAAGAGGAGAGGGGAAGGAGAGAGAGAGAGAGGAGAGAGAAAAAGGGAAAGAAGGGGGAGAGAGAAAGGAGAAAGGAGGGTAGAGAGAGAGAGAGAGAGAGAGAGAGAGAGAGAGAGAAAGAACATGAATAGCTGGAGCCAACTCATTTGATCTTACTACAAAAAAAAATTTTGACAGCGTTCTGACTTCCTAAGTAGATCCCTCCACTTACAGACCTGGTTGTCAAGTTGAGCTGCCCATCCCTGGGAGGTGCTCAGGAGGCTAGTTCCTCACTGAACAGCCTTTGCTCTGGGTCAGCACTCATTTAATATGAAGCCAAGCATGGAACATCTCTGAAACACTTAGTAAAGTATGGGAGTTATCTTCTACCGCGGTGTCATCAGGATATAAACTATCTATATCCATGTCAGAGCAGAGCTGTATCATATCATTACTGCAGCCATCTTTTCAGAAGAAATCTCAAGGTTGGAGTAACAGCTCTAAAATATAGCCCGGCTGCACCAACAGCCTTCCTTGAAGGCAGATGCCTCTGAGGGACTGAGAATCAAGTTCTTTATTCCAGAAAAAAATCAAATCAAGCTGATAAATTAGTTACAGGGGAGCAGAAATAGGGATGAGTAAGCTGAGAAAAAAAATCTAAGTGTGGTCTGTCTTGTATCTTTTCTAAGCGACGCTGTGCCTGCAGAGACCTGAGACACAGCACAGAATGTAGCTTTGCTGTGTGTCATTAAAAGGTGTGCATCAGGCAAGATGGCAGTTTTTTGAATAGAAAACTTAAGACAATTGCACCAGGTAAGGAAACCTTGGGCTTCTGAGGCAGAAAAACTGCCATCTCCACATGGGCACAGCAGACAATCTGGAAATGGAACAAGTGCTGGCTGTCTCTATCACAATCAGAGAGAAAAATACAATCCAGCAGAAGCAGCCACTCAGAGAATAAGGAGGAGGGCTGAGGGTGTGGCTCAAGTGGGAGAGAGCTCGCCCAGCATATGTGAGGTCCTGGGTTCGATCCTCCCTCAGTACCACCAAAGAAAAAAAAAATTCAAACTCTTGGAAGGAGCATTTTCTCAGAAATCAATAACTAAGCACTTACTGCATATAAAGGCAGTGGATTAGGTACTGAGGATCGACTTCCAAGAGCCCTGCTTCTCTGAAATTCATTCTCTCATTTTGTATGTGTGCATGTCATCTATAAATGCATATATATAATTTGATACATGTAACTGGTGCTGGGGATGAAACCCAGAGGCTTGGGCACACTGAGTATGTGTTCTACCACTGAGAGATATATACCCCAGTGCTCAAGCCTGTACATTTTGGGTAATAAAACAAAATGCATATCCGGTATGTCTTGTAGCAGTGTGAGAGTAAACAGGGCTTACCAGGAAACTTGCCCAAAGGCGGCTTCCATGTCAGCCTTCTGTCTATGGAAAAATCCTATGTGCTCTCCGAATATAGTGTTAGACTTGTTTTTAGCAGCTGAAATATCACTCTGTTACAGTTTCACTTTTCCTCCCTTATTCTGTTTTGCACCTTTTTTCACTACCTGACCCTTCCTGTATTTATCATCTGTCTTTCCCAGCTAGAATATAAGCTGGGAAAGGGCACAGATTTCAAATAGTGTGTTCACAGATACAGTCCCAGTAGGAAGAACTGTATCTAGCATGCAGTATGTCCTCAAACATATTTGTAAATATTTGTTAAAAAGACTATGTTAGAATTGTTTCTTGTTTATTTGTGGGACTAGATATGAACTCGGTGCAGGCACTTTACCACTTGAGCCGCACCTCCAGTCCATTTTGCTCATTTGTGATTTTGGAGATGGGGGTATCTTGAACTATTTGCCTGGGCTGGCCTGGAACTGCAAGCCTCCCCATCTCAGTCTCCCAAGTAGCTAAGATTACAGGTGTGAGCCACAAGGTCCCCACCCTATGTTAGAATTGTTAAATGTAAAGTTTTGGCATATTTGTGTATGTGTGTGCATAAATAAATTTACAGACTCTGTGGACTATTTTCCAGTGTAGTCCAAGTCAGGGGCTAAGAGTCAGAAGATTATGTGGAGAGCCATTTCAAAAACAAAGTATCATATCTTATTGAATGGACCAAAGGAATTAAACATTGCCAGGAAATGGCTTTAAAGAGTGAACTAGGGCTGGAAATGTGGCTCAAGTGGTGTAGAGTATCTGCCTAGCAAGTGCGAGGCCCCGAGTTCAAATCCCAGTACCACACACACACAAAGTGAACTAAATGCATCCCTGTCCTTTCGTCCCTGAAATCTGAATGGCACAAATTCAAATTCACTTCAGATGAGTTGAATTCATATTAGCTTTCTACTTTGATAAAGCTTGTACAACTTATTTAGTAAAGGTTTTTTTTTTTTTTCCTTCCTCCTAAATTACTGCCTGCAAGATGGAAACAAGAGTCTCCCATCTCTATTTTGGGATTTGCCTGAGTCACAAGGTAGTCTTGTCAAGTCATTCTGTTCTATCTCTCAGTTTATGGAGCCTGCCTGGGAACTTCAACTGTCAGCCAAACAGGAAGAGGGCCCTTCTCATAACTCCAAAAATCCCGAGTCATATAGACTTGGTGAGGTTTAATGATAGAGATAAATCAGTGCAAATGGACTTCCCCATGAGGGAGAGGAGGTGGAGCAAACATTTTACTTAACTTCCTCTGTATGGATTCAGGGCTGGTAGAGAGAGCAGACTATATAGTTAAGCAAGCTTTCTAATATCTGCCTAACACTGCAATTTCAACTGAAGATACCCTTTTTGTATTCCTACTATATATGGCTAACCCAAACCTTAAATGTAAGCAAAGGAGTGTGGCTGATCTGACCCTGGCAAAGTTACACTGTTTAAATAAAAGCGTCAGTGACCAGAAACATGAATTAACCACAAAGGCCCTTTTTCGCTTTCAAGGATGGGTGTGAAGAGTTACTTTCATCCCATACTCTTATTTGTGCTCTCTCTGTGTCTTGAACTCCCCCTGGTTTTGCATTTCCCATTCTCTTCTCCACACTGCTCTGGGTCTTAGTGATGAGAGACCACCTCCCTCCATGATGCCTCTTGACAGTTACTCTTTCTGTACTCACACAAACAGAAACAGAAGCGATGACACGCTGCGCAGGTCTCACACTGCCACACTTGCTAAACACAACTTGAACTTCTCGGCTTCTCTTCACTTGGCTGAGTTCCTGTCTTGGCTCAGGGTTGGTGATCTTGCATGACGTAGGAAACTTAGGACCCAGGGGGCGCCTTTCAGCTGAAAAACACCTCGCTCTGCAGCAAGCTAGCTGGGAAGCTCCCAGTTCTAAAGAGAGGCTGTTTACCAGAAGAACATAACAAGGGCAGGTCTCACTGCAAGGCTGGGACGAGGAGGCAAAGCCACTGTCAAGGGGACCCCAGCTGGACACTGGTTGTTCCATCACCTGCAGGATGCAGGAGGCGAGGATGCGGTTGGCTTGGATACAGACATTCCTTCTCAGCAACATGATCCTAGCAGAAGCCTATGGATCTGGAGGTGAGATTACCACCCTTCCTTTCTGCAGCCGAATGGGTAAAGCCCCAGGTTTCCCAAACATGGCCAGGATGACAGGAAGCAATGCTTTTTGTTATCCTATGACCTCCACCCCTCCCTTTCCATGTCAGGGGCTTGCAGCTCCATCTTTGCCTTTAAGAACAAAGGCAAGTAGCCACTTTCTCTTTCTTTGATCAGAGTGGATGGAGCTTGGGACTTCAGCTCCCCTCTTCCTAAGTCCTGTCCTTTTTCAAGCCCCTTCCTTGCACGGCCAGTGCACAGAGCTCCCATCTCCCAGCCTCCAACCGTGGCTCTCCTGCTGAGCTGAGAGTCACATCCAGGCAGGGTCCCCCCACCCCACCCCCATTTGGGACTCTCTTGAGTCTTTTGCCTGACTGAATTAAGGCTTTTGTAGGATTCTCTGGCGAGGCAGCGCTGCTGACTAGTTAAATCCACAGAAGGTGGCCTTACCCGTGGAGGAGGAACAAGAGTTTATGTAACGTGGTCATTTCAACACAAGGGATGACTTTCAGGTTTGGCTGCCCACCAACCCAAAACTCCCAGCCGTCTCCACGAAAGGGACCTTAAAAGCCAAGCCTCCTACTTCTCCAAAGTAGCCACAAGTTCAAAAGTAACCACCCTTTGCCTCTTCTGCAGCGTTTTTACAAAAACAGAAATAAGCTCGCTTTCTTGGATTGTAGCCTGAGAGCCGGGCACTGGCTAAGGGGATTTCTACGCTCTTCTGTCACTTGGAACCTCAACCACCTTTCGAGACAGGGGGTCCAGGGTCCCCCACCCCCATTCTCCCCTAGGAGACAGACGGCCATGGCCATGGTGGGTGGGGGGGCCCAGCCATGCCCGGCGCCTCCCGTGGGTCAAGGTCCTCTTGCTCACAGGCTGCTTCTGGGACAATGGCCACCTGTACCGGGAGGACCAGAGCTCGCCCGCGCCGGGCCTCCGCTGTCTCAACTGGCTGGACACGCAGGGCCACCTGGCGTCCTCGGCACCCGAGTGGGGTGAGTGTCCGCCCGGGGGTGCGTGGGGCGGGGGTGGGGACGAAGGGGGTGGCGCGCGATGGTCGCCGAAGTCAGTCCCGGACCCTGACCCCAGGCACGTCGCCTTCTCTCTCCTCTAAGGTGCCGGCGACCACAACTACTGCCGGAATCCGGACGAGGATCCGCGGGGACCCTGGTGCTACATCAGCAGCGAGGCCGGCGGCCTTGACAAGAGAACTTGCGAGAACATTCGCTGCCCAGGTACCCACGGTGGACCCCGAGGACCTCGGGATCCCAGTGTCCCGGACGGACTGGGAAGCGAGGTTACACCCGTAACGCACGTGCGGCCGCACGACGCCGGGCCGGCCCCCGCCCCGCCCCTCGAGCTCTCTGATTGGTCAGAGCTGTCTCCAGGCCGCGAGGCTCAAAGCCCATTGGTCGGCGCCGCCTCTCCGAATGAGCTCATCCTCCGCAAGCGCTTGTAAACAACCGGAGGCGGCGAGTCCCGGTCCTTGGGTGAGGGGTGGCCCTGGGCGCGCGTCCATCGCCGTTTAGAGGCCGTTTGTGGAGCATCTGCTGTGTGCTAGGCATGCCGCCGCTCGCAAACCCCTCGGGGTGGAAGCTGTTTGAGCGGGCTGAGCCGCAGAGAAGTTCAGTGACTTAACCAAAAGGCAAGGTCAGGATGCAAATTTGAATCTTCAAGTTTCTTAAGAGTTCAGAAAGCAGGCTTGTTGCTCCTGAGACAGCAAGAGTTCTCTAGCATGAAATGGGAGCATCCAGATAAAGCATTTAACACAGGGATTTGCACACACTGTGTGCTCCATAACTGCGAGCTGCATAGAGGAGTCATGGCTTTGACTCCTGGCATGGAGGTGTGGGGTGGGGGACCCCTGGAGAAGATGGCAGCTGAGCTGGGTGTTGGAAGATAACAGATTTGGAGAGGTGAAGACGTGGGAGGCAGGAGAGAGGCTCTTCCCCTCACATTTTCTTTCCATCCCATCTCAGCCAGGGGGTGGTTCTTCCAGGATTGAGCTTGCCTCCAGAGGCAGATCTTGCTTTCAGTGTGGGGAGCATTCTAAGGGGTACCCCCTCTTCTCCCCTAACAGTCCAAGTTCAGGTTCAGCAGTGGATTTCACTCAGCTCTTTCCTACCTCGCCCCCAGAGACCACTTCCCAGCCACCTCCAGCCTCCATGACAGAGCCACAGGAGCCATCTGAAGTGCCAGGTGACGGTGAGGTGCAGGTGTTCCCTCCTGCCAACTCCATGCCAGCCCGGAGTGAGGCAGCTGCTGTGCGGCCCGTGATTGGGATCAGTCAGAGGGTGCGGATGAATTCCAAGGAGAAGAAGGACCTGGGAACTCTGGGTATGACCGCCCGATCACTGCCCTTGTTGGAATTCATCAAGAGATGTCGTTTGCCCATTGGCTGCAGGTGTGGCTAATAGGAGCTTGTGTCGTGTCCTTGGCAGGCTATGTGCTGGGCATAACGATGATGGTGATCATTATTGCCATTGGAACTGGCGTCATCTTGGGCTACACCTACAAGAGGTCAGTAGCAGCTCTTCTGGGCTCTTGGGAGGAAGAGACACAAAAGTCAAATCCGATTTCTTTTCTTTTTTTTTGAACTCGGAGCATTGCACTTGCTAGGCAGGCACTCTACCACTTGAGCCCCTCCTCCAGCCCATCAAATCAGATTTCTTTGTGGCTTTCTTACCCAAAAGGAAGCAAGGTGTTGAAGCTTCGTGATGTAGAGACTTGGTTCTAGTTTTTACCCTTTCCTTTGATGTTTTTACTCCATGCAGAAGCCTTGTGAGATAGGGGTTCCTGTTGCTTATTTTACAGATGAGAAAACCTTTGTCCAATGTCATGCTGCCTGGCAGTGGTAGAACCTGGATTCAAATCCAGCTCTTTTGATAACAGATTTCTTGTCTAAATGTACCAAATGTCTGGTACAGAAATGAGTGACTATGCAAGAAGTTGAGCTAGACACTCAGTGCAGGGATCTGAAGAATGAATTCTTCCTGTGAACTATAAAATTCTATGAACTATAAAATTCTGTTACAGGCTTCGTCAGTAACCACCACACACCCCTTTCCTGAGCAGGCTTGCTCTGAGAACAGCTTGTACAACAGGAAGCCACAGGTGGACTAGAGACAAGTTCTCGGCTCTCTGCACTTAGAGAACAGAGTACCAGGTGCCAGTGGCTCACGACTGTAATCGTAGCTATTTGGAAGGCTGAGATCAGGAGGATCAAGGTTTGAGGCCAGCCCGGGCAAATAGTTTGTGTGACCCCATCTCCGAAATAACCAGAGCAAAGTGGACTGGAGGAGTGGCTCGAGAAGTAGAGTGCCTGCTTTGCAAGTGCAAAGCCCTGAGTTCAAAACCCAGTCCCACCAGAAAGAGAGTCAAATCACTTTTTGATGGTATTGGGGCTTGAACTCAGGGCTTCACACTTGCTAAGCAGGCACTCTGCCACTTGAGCCATGCCTTTAGCATGTCAAAATCATTTTTGAAGTACTGGCTGACTTTGGAAAACTATTTGCTGTTCTTGGGCAAAATCGACCCTGAGTGTCTTTGATATTTTTCCTCTGGCCTGAGAAGTTTCTTTAAGGGAAGTGACTCAGTGATCCACATGTCCCGATAGAGCCCTGTGTAAGCCCACAGTCCTATGGGTCACCCACTATTATATTAACCGAGGGTCTCCTTAGAGACGTTATAGTCAACTGCATTCTACAAATGCAAATGGGAGTGTGTTGAGTAATAATCACAACATTAGCAAACATTTGCAATATCCCAGACACTGCCTTAGACACTTGGCATGCTTAGGCTCACGCGATAAAAGCTGTTGTTCATCCCCAGATGGGAAAAGCGAGGCAAGAGACACTGTATACCTTGCCTAAGGTTTCACACCTAGCAGCTACTCACAGCTACCTGTGACTCTGGACAAATAGCTTCAATTTCTTGTTTCAGAGTATTGCTGTGTGGCTATGGTGTGCAGCTGGGCAGCTCAGCGCACGGCCCGTAGTGCACGGTCAGGAAACCCAAAGGCAGTTTTCTTTTCTATCAAATGGGGGTACTGAACTACTGTTCTCCAGGTCCCATGCTTCTTGTCTGATTATCTGTGATTCAGGAAGTAGAGGTCAGGGCTGGCGAAGTGGCTCAAGTGGTAGAGCACCTGCCTTGAGTTCAAACCCCAGTACCACCAAAAAAAAAAAAAGGAAAGGAAACAGAGGTCCAGAGAGGGAAAGTATTGGCCTGAGAGGGCATCCTGACTCTCTGGGTGAAGTTGGGGCACCCAGTGGGGTGCACTTGGAAGGTCCAGAAGCACCTGTCCATTTCAGAGTTAGGGAAAATGGTGGAGTGCTGTCCCACACAGTTCATAGTCAGACCCAAACCATGTTGGCTGCGTTTGGCCCTGGAAATATTTCCTCCTTCCTCAGCCACTGGATGGTATTTGGCTCCTCTCCAACCTCGTGACAGTTTGCAGGCCTTGCAGGTGCTTGAACTGACGAAATGCTCATTCCAGACTCAGCTCTGGTCATGGGACTGCCCTGTGGTCTATAAACTCGAGAAGGCACCAAGTCACCAGCCTCCTCATCAGTAACCACCACACGGCTACACCCCTTTCCTTAGCAGGCTTGCTCTGAGAACAGCCTGTACAACAGGAAGCCATATGTGGGCTGGAGACAAGCTCTCAGCTCCCTGCAGTTAGAGAACAGAGTGTCCCATAAGAGTTGGTTCATTGTCAGTTCAGGTGTCCTCTGAACCTTGGTATCCTGTCTGTAAAGTGGGGATACAGGTCCGTCTATACCCCACACCCACTCACCCACCCAAGAGTATAGTTAAGTGCTAATCAAGTAATAATTACAGTAGTAGCCAAGGCAACATTTTTTCATGGTTTTTTGTTGTTGTTTTTTGGGGTGGGACTGGGGTTTGAACACCAGGTTTTTATCTTATTTTATTAACTCAAGGTTTTGAGCTTGCAAAGCAGCCACTCTACCACTTGAGCCACACCTCCAGTCCATTTTGCTCTGGTTAATTTGGAGATGGGGGTCTCGTGAACTATTTGCCCAGGATGGCTTCAAACCCCGATCCTCCCCATCTCAGCCTCCCAAGTAGCTAAGATTACAGGTGTGAGCCACTGTTTCTTAATAAACAAGGCCCTACTTTTATGCCCTTTCCTGATGACCTCACCTAAGCCTCAAGACCACAACCATTATACTGTTGTATAGCGAGGAGCTGAGACCTAAAAGAGTTAAGTACCTTGTTCAAGCTACCCAGACAAGAGGGTATGTCTAAAGACTTGTCAGTATCTTTAAAAAAGTCCACCGAAGCCTAGGAGCCTCATGGAAATTTACTTTGTTGTTTGTTTTATTTATTTATTTATTTTGGTGGGGCTGGGGTTTGAACTCAGGGCTTCATGCTTGCCAAGTGAATGCTCTTCCGCTAGAGCCATACCTCCGGTCCATTTTACTGTGGTTATTTGGAGATGGGAGTCTCATGAACTGTTTGTCCAGGTTGGCCTTGAATTGCAATCCTCCCTATCTCAGCCTCCCAAGTAGCTAGGATTATAGGTGTAAGCCACTGGTACCTGGTGGAAATTTACTTTGAATTACAAGAGACAGTACTTCCAAAAAGTGGCCGGGTTTAGAAGTCAGAGGAATCAGGATCTAGTTCTAGAACTGCCATCAGTCCTGGATGTGATTCTAGACTAGTTACTTATCCTTTCTAGGTCTCAGTTTAGTCATCTGTAAAACAGGGAATTATTTTATATAATTTTATAATTATATCCTCCTTGTTCAACTGTTTCTTAAAAGGACAGTTTTGCCTGGTGGTGGTTGTGTTGGTTCAAATCCCAGTTCTGCCCTATGCTGGAATAGTTGACTTAACCTCTCATTTCTGAAAGAGATCCTAACAGACATGGCATAGGTTTGTCACGAGGGTGGAATTAGACTTTTCAGGTGTTCATCACCCAACCAGTTGGAGTTGATAACTTGTAGCTGCCTTGGGAGACTTCCTGTGCAGCGGGATGGCACACCACTGTGTACGCATGCAGAACAGCAGTAGCTATCTTGCGCTGCCTTAAGGAGGTCTGCGGTGCTCCCAGAACCCTGGGAGAAGGCAGGCAGACAGCAGCTCCAAGCACACCTGTCCTCTCGGGCCAGCCCAGCCTCTGCCCTGGAGCAGTGGGTAATTACTGCCACCCTTGCACCAAGGGAGGCTTACCTAATAGGCTGAGCATCCCCCCTGGCTCAGAAGGGTGGGTAGGCACCAGACTTCCTCTCAAGGGAGGAAGGGCTACAGGAGGGGGTGAATGGGAGCTCAGCCTGGCTGGGTCTCTGACTTAGTACTTTAGGCCGTAGGTACATCTGACTGGCTCCCTGTCCCCACTCCAGGTTCAGTGTCATAGCTAGTTTGGATGGGAGTTTTTTTTTCTGATAAAGTGTGGAGGGAAAAACAGTAAGTCACCCCTACTTTTTACATCCTTGAGAGAGGAGCTGAGTCAGTGAATAAGTCGTTTGTTCTTCCTTGGCTGCCACACAACAGCCAGACTGTCCCCCACCCCCAGGGCGGTGAGGGGGGCTGGGCTTCCTATTGGTCAGCGCAGCAGGCCCAGCCTGGCTCTCAGGTCTCTCCAGGGAGTTGTGGGCACCAGGCACCTGGGGTTGGATGGGCTTCCAGGCTGCTAAGTGGATGAAACAAATCCACACTGGTCCCAGCATCTGCTTCCTTTCCTCTGGATCGTTCTTCTAACCCTGCCCGGCCCCATTAACACAAATTTTTTTTCCTCTGAAGATTTGGGTGTGACGCAGCCCGCCTGTCATCACCAGCTCAGTGGGCCACAGTTATATGCTGGTAAAGGAGGTAGCCAAAGAAAACAGCTTTTCAGTTAAGACTCCAGTGCCTCAGTTTTGGGAGGCTGAGATCGGAAGAATTGAAGTTCGAGGCCAGTCCGGGCAAATAGTTTGCGAGGTCCCATTTCCAAAAATAACTAAAGCAAAATGAACTGGAGGTGGGGCTCAAGGAGTGGAGCACCTGCTTTGCAAGTTTGAAGCCCTGAGTTCAAATCCCAGTCCTACCAAAAAAGAAAAAAAAAAGAATATTATCTTACAAGGTCAGAAATAAAAAGATGGTGCAAATATTAAGTACCCAGTAGGTATTATAGATAGCTCCCCTCATCCTGGACAATGGGGTACCTTGGTAGGCTCTCAGGAATTTGCTTTCTTGTTCCCTACAGCTTTAGATTTTGAGGTTCAGACCTTGGCAAAAATACTCACATACTCCATTTCTTTTATAAATTGCCTTTTGATCATTTGCTGGCGTGGAGTTCCCTTACTAAAATTAAACCCAGACCTTGCAAATTCCTCCCTCTATGGGCAGCCTGGAAGAATCTGGCTTTTTGTTTTATTGTAGAGACAGGTGCTTCCTTCTGTTGGGTGGCAGCCGATAGCTGCCAAAGTGCCTGGTCAATCAGGATGAGACTTGGGGAGCACTTGGTCCAAACCACCCTCTCCCCACGGAGAGTGTACCTCCACTTCCCCTTTGGGTGCTGGAGGAAGTTGATGGTGTCCAGTACAGAGGCTAATGAGGACGGGGCAGGAGTTTGTATGTTCAGAAACTCAGTCACCCCCAGCCAGCCAGCATGACTCAGGATGAGCTCACAAGTCTGCCTCCTGTGACCTTACAATGGCAAACAGGGAATCAGAGCCTAGGTCATCTGGAGATTCTTACAGAATGTCCAGGGTCGTGGAGATGACCAGGTCTAACTTGACGAAATTAAGGCCCAGGGCTGGAGGAGTGGCTCAAGTGGTAGAGTGGCTCTGAGTTGAAGCCAAAAAGAAAAAGAAACTAAGGCCCAGAGGAAGGAATTACTGAGGTCATCTAAACAACACTTGCCTTGGCTGGTCAGTAGCAGTTTTGGGAAATCAAATTAACATTGCTTAGTGAGTCAAGGCTGATTCAGGGCAAATCATCCTGCTTTTTTTTTTGTTGAGACTGGGGTTTGAACTCAGGATTTCATGCTTGCAGAGCAGGTGCTCCAATCCATTTTGTTCTGGTTATTTTGGAGATGGGGTCTCCAACCTCGATTTTCCCATTCTTAGTTTCCTAAGTAGCTAGAACTACATGTGTAGCTGATGGAGTGGCTCAAGTAGAGCGCCTGCCTAGCAAGCTGGAGGCCCTGAGTTCAAACCCCAGTACCACCAAAAAACCCCAACAGAGACAAAACAAAAAACTGATAGAATTACAGGCGTGAGGCACCAACACCTGGCCCTGCTGAGTTTTTATAGTAGTTTCACTATTTTCAAAATGATTTCACATTATCTTTTTGAGACAGACGAGGGAACCAAGTGTCACACAGCTTGGCTGAGCTGGTGGTGTGAGGACACAGTAAAGATGAGTGAATAAAGACAACTCGGATCTGTGTATACTCATCCCCACCAGCTTCGCCCTGCCACCCACGTTCTTCCCCAGCCTCCTGAAGCCTTTGCCATGCCATGTGCAATCCATCTGACCACAGTCACGTCCCTGAGACCTGAAGCAGGAAGGCCCTGTGTTTTCACCAAGTTATCCATCACCTGCTCATTTCAAGGCTTCTAAGAGGATTTGCCCCAAGGGCTGAGCCCAAGTTGTTGGCTTCGTAGGATGGTGCCCTGGGTCCCTAGCACTGGTTCTGCTGTGTAAAGTGCTAGACATTCACCAGTCCCTTTGCTTGGCAGCAGAGGGTGGTCAAGTCTAGTGAGAAAGGTCCTACATGTACAGCTAGAAAACTGGGTTTGAAGCCAGGCCTGTGGCTCATGCCTGTAATCCTAGCTACTGGGGAGGAAGAGATCAGGAGGTTGCGGTTCAAAGGCCAGCCTGTGCAAAAAAAGCAAGACCCTAGCTCAAAAATGCCCAACACAAAAAAGAGCCAGTGGAGTGGCTCAAGCTGTAAAGTGCCTGCCTACCAACTGTGAGGCCAAGTTCCAAACGCTAGTATGGCCAAAAAAAAAAAAAAAAAAAGCCAAAAAGGACTGGGTTTGAGTCCCACCATTTTTTTTCATTTTTTTGGTGATCTTGGGGTTTTGAACTCAGAACCTTGTGCGCGGGTCTCTTGAGCATCACAAGAATTCAAAGGCAAGTGACAACTTTGAGAAGCCCAGAAATATTCTTTTTTCCCCCTTGGCCTGAATGGCCCTCAAGAGTCCTTTTTGACCCCTACACGATTAGGGATGATCCATTTTCAACCTGGGCTCTCACCTTCCCGTACTTTAGGATAAGAAGTGGGATGGTTGGGTCAGTTTTCTGGGCATTTTTTTTTTTTCTTTTTGTGATGCTGGGGTTTGCACTCAGGGCCTTCACCTTAAGCCACTCCACCAGCCCTTTTTTGCAATTTTTTTTTTTTTTGAGATAAGGTCTGGCAAACCATTTGCCTGAGCTGGCTTTGAACCACGATCCTCCTGATCTCTCCTGAGTAGCTGGGATTGCAGGCATGAGCCACTGGTGCCCAGAAGTTTTCTGGACAATCTTACGGGTTAGGGTCAAAAATCAGAAAGTTCTTAAACTCTGGGTAAAATAACAAAACTGTCTTGCTTTAAGAGTCTCTTGCAGCTATGTGCCGGTGGATCCTACCTGTAATCCCAGCTACTTGGGAGAGTGGGAGGATTGAGGCTTAATGCCAGCCTGGGCAAATAGTTCTCAAGACCCCATCTCCAAAATAACCAGAGCAAAATGGAGTTACTTTGCAAGCACGAAACTCTGAGTTCAAAGCCCAATACTGCAAAACAAGACAAAACAAAACCCAAACCAAAACCAAAACCAAATTTCTCCACCGAGCCCCACTGCTGCTGTGTGAGGCCCATTCTGTGCTTCCTCCATTGCACACATGGAGGAAGCAGAAACCCAATGCAGGGGCACCTTGTGGCAGAGTGGAAGTGTAGTATATTTGTTCCGGGACAGTGTCACTCCTGGCTCAGCCAAAGACTTGCCGTGACCAGGATGGGCCTCAGTCAGGGATGCTAGCCAGTTGAGCAGGAGGCACAGCCTGAATGCATCTTCTTTTCCCGCCAGGGGGAAGGATTTGAAAGAGCGGCATGAGCAGAAAGTGTGCAAGAGGGGGATGCAGCAGGTCATTCTGCCCTTGTCTGCCTTCGCCAATCCCACCTGCGAGATTGTGGACGAGAAGACCGTGGCGCACAGCAGCCAGACTCCCGTGGACCTCCAGGAGAGCAGCACCCCCCTCGTGGGCCAGGCTGGCACCCCTGGGGCCTGAGCCCTTCCTCCGTGGGCAGGAGCCCACGCAGACACCGATGCAACACAGCCCACCCTCCTACAGCTGGGAGGATCTACATTGTGTTGTGGTTAAAATCCTACCCCCATTTTTTTTTTTTTTTTTTGGTGAATCCTCATGACAGAAGCAGCGAAAGCAGGTAGCACTGTGGGCCGAGGGTAGAGCTGCACAGAGGGCTATCAGTGTCCTCTCTCCATTCCCTGGAGCCGGGTTTTGCCTGTGGGTGAAGAGAGTGGTACAATCCCCACAGTGGTGACGCTGACAAGGGCTTCCAGATGTTGCCTGTGCCTCTGGAGCTGGACCAGGGACAGAAGGGGAGCTCTCCCAGACTCCTTTGTGCTTTACCATCTAAGATGGTTCAGCCTCCGCCTTTCTGTTTGCTCTTCCTAAGTTTGAGTGGCAAACACTGTTATTCACAGTTAAGGTCAAGCAGATCAAGAGGCAGCATTGAAAAAAATATATCTTTAGTTTTTTAAGTATTTGGGATGGAACTCCCTACTGACTTGAGAGCTGGAAATGAGTTTGTGCGGAAGTGAGAACTTTGGGCTGAGGATGGGATCTAGGCTGGGGCTTCTGGGTAGGCTCCAGCTTGCTGGCAGTGACGTGCCTTGCCTTGACAACCATGGGCCAGCCTGGGCCCAGGAACTCTTCCTGTTTCTTTAGGAAAGGAAGGGAAGACTTGCACTAAACATTCCACTTAGGAACAGGATAGAGAAGGATCTGCTTCTGCCTTAGGCCCCTGGGCAAAAGTGGACCTGGGACGCCCATCACCTCTCTTCTGGGGTGGACAGTGACCGCTCTTCATTTTGCACTGATGAGAGAGAAGCCAGCCACCCTGTGGGAATTACACACTGTGGGGCCTGGGCAGCTGCCTCTGGCCGATGAACCTGGAAACTGAGCTCAAAGTCATAATTGTAAAGCACTTTGGGCTTTGCCTCTGCAGTGTGCCTTGGTTTGCAGGTAGCTCTGAAGCCACCAGGCCAGCACCCTCCCTTTGGGGACAGTGGGGCTAGAGTTACAACCCGCCACTTGTAAAACAATCAAAGAGCCACAATCAAAAGAGCCTTTTGGACATGGGCCAGAGAGGGAAAAGTGACTTGCCCAAGGTCACAGAGCAAGCGCCTGACATGGCCAAGAGGGCCCAGTTTCCTGAGCGAGCACAGTGTTTGTCCACTGCACTGTGCACAGGGCTCAGAGGCCCTCCAGGCCCTGACGCCACACCGTTTCCCAGCCACAGAGCTTCTTCCCAGAGCCCTTCCACTGCCTGAAGTGGAGGGGGGGTGTGAGTGGGGCCCAGTCCCTTCAGCAGGCTGCTTTCTGGAGCCATTTGCTGAGGGGACCCTAGACTTCAGGGGGTCTTTTGGTGTTAGTGACACTGGAGAAGAGAACGTTACTGTTTTCTACTTTTCTATAAAAAGCATTTCTCTGTATACGCATTTTATATACCTCATTCTGACACCTGTGTACAAAGCTCTGCATTTGACTTACATAAAAACAAAACAAAACTCCACGTGGCCAAGTTTTTGTGGGGTGTTGGGAACACTCCCCTCATACCTTAGGAAGCTTTGGGTTACCTTGTCAACACCTGTGCAGCGAGCTCTGACCTGTTCATTCACCCTGGCCCTGTAACTGCAAGGCAGCAACAGTTGAAAGTTGGAAAACTACAGCCTCTGTGTCCTGGTTGTCACTGTCACCAGGGATCCTGCAGGTTGAAGTTGCAGGAAGGATGGGTATGTGGGGTGTCCCAAGAAGGGAGTTGGTCACTGCAGGTGACAAGCATTCTTTCCAAGGTGGAGGGGAATGAACACTTAGCCCTTATCCGAGAAGAGAGTGAGTGGTGATGCCACGGGCCAAACGGGGGATGGGTGTTGCAGAAGGAGGTGACTGATGGCTGTCTGGAGCAGCCTGGGACTGAAGATGGTCTCTGCAGGCCATTCCTTGGGCTCTACCAATGGGAGTGCCTCTTGGACTTGTCAACAGGTTGCCAGGTTCTAGGGTGACCTCTGACCATGCCGACGACATTGCTCTACAGTTTGGCAGCAGTGAGCACCTCAGACCATCAGATTTTTCCAGAACCAGATTGTGCCTTAAGTTGGATTCCTCAAGCTTGGGTGGCTTGGGAGAAGGTGCCTTTGGGTTAATGGATTTACATTGTGCCCAGAGCCCCACCAGCTAGACAGCGTCCTCCTGCCCAATGGCTGGCCTCCTGTAACATCCCCCATGGGTCAGAAGCAAGCACTTCCTACATAGGGAGTGGGGTGACTTGCAGTAATTTTCCGCCATTATAGGAGTGACATACAGCCCGATGGAGAGAAAGGCAGCCCCCTCGGGGGCTGTAGAAGTGTTTGCGTTAAAGGTAGGAGTGGAGAGCTCCCGAGCACTCAGCCAGCAGGTGGGAGCCTGCTGTTGGGCCAGATGAGGTCACAGACTTGCACCATGGAAGGGGCTGCCTCAGGGGGGGACATGTCTGTTCCCTGGAGCAGGGTGGGGTCTGCCTAAGGACAGGGGGTTGATTTGGCAGTGAGAATTCTGAGCTGTGGTGAGTCATGGCCTGGGCCTGAAGGTGGTCCACACACCGATCCTCCAGGTTTTTTTCCCTGAGACATGTCCCAAGTCGCTTTTTCACTCTCAGTGTCGTCAGTTATGATGAATGCTTAATTTATTTGGTCTGCTCAATGGCCCCACTCAGGCCCACCACTCCCACACTTGCTGGGGACAGCTGAAGTACAGCCACACAACACTGAACCACGCCGCTACTGAGAGTCGAGGCCTCAGCCCTACAGCAAGCTGCACACTCCGCATGTCAGTACAGCCTACATAGATAGCAAGAACTCTGCCCAGAGACGACATCCCACTCCACAGTTCATCCAGTCTATGTACAATATTTCACACACCACCCAACAGAGAACGAGATTGACAACCACGCTCCTGGATCTCCCCCCCACCTCCCGCCATCCAGCCACCACACGTTCAATTTATACCCCAAACCCGTCCCCGATTTGTTAAATATGATGCAAGCTCACAGACACATAGGTAAGTCTAGGCGTGCTGTACAGTCCCTGGAGGTCTGGGAGCCAAGGTGGAAGGCACCCCAAGTTTCCCAATGCCCATGCCCTAGTGTGTGGCTCAGAGGGCCGTAGCCAGGAGCGAGGAGCTGGACCAGCTAACAAGGGAGGTAGTAGCCAGATGGCCCAGCTCAGGGAGCTGTCTCTCTCAGCATCCGTCTCAGCTCTGGACTGTCACCACCTCTTCCCAATCCAAGCTGCTGCCTGGAGCAGGTGTGTTGGAGGACTAGCAGTGGGTGCCATGAGGAGGCCTGGAGATCGCTGAGACATCCCTTCCCTGCCTTAGAGCCAGGCCTGTCACGAGCCACGCTGCCTTCCAGAACACATCTAGCTGTAGGCAGTGTTTCAGGCTTTTGACTGAGCCAACTAGGGCAAGAGTGATGGCAACCCGGATATGAGATTTTTAGAGGGCAGGGCCTCTTTCTTTCCAGCCCCAGCTTCCTGTGCCTGTGGGTGACTGCTTGTTAAGACAGAGATGATGTTGTCCAGAAGTTCTTGGGCAGTCTCCAAGTAGCAGTTTGAGATCAAGAGGCAGAAACTTCTTCTTCCCACATGATGTGGTCCCTGGGATAGCTAGAGCCATCCCCCGGCAGGTGAACAGAAAATGGCTGTTTCCCTGACTGCTGGCCAGCTCCAGAACACACTGACTAAGGGACTCTTCAAAACCTACTCCCTCACCCTCTGCTCCAGGGAGGGCAGGGCCTGGAGTAGATGGGGGGAGTACCACTGTCACTTTACACCCTTCAGTGCCACCTGGCCATCAGTCCACCTTCCCAGGTCCTCCTGCACACAGCTGAACCAGAGCACTTCAGGTACCTGTAGGCAGGTTCACCCTGGGATCCTGCCCAGCAGGCCCAGGTCACGTTGATTAGTGTGAGCCAGAGCCTTCTGGGAGCCCCCTGCCAGGGAGGTCCCAGGTAGGTGTGAGTAGCAGATTCCTCCTGGCCCAGACTCCAGCGTGTTTTCCTCTTCTTCACAGTGTTGCATTTACAGACAGTAACCAGGCTCCCAGACCTGGGGAGATAGGTTTTCCAGATGCTGCGCCCGCGTGCCCCCCGGGAGGTAGTAAGGATGGCTCGTTCTGCTTCTACACAAGCCGTCAATCCACAGGAAGCCTGGATGAGCCCTGCTCACAGCAGGGGTGGGGCGCAGAGGGGGCAGTGCTGGCTGTAGAACGCCCCCCTGCAGGGGGCTGCACCGGGGCTAGGGGGGCGAGTCCCGCGTCAGGCCGTACTGCACGCTTACAGTGTGGTCCAGCTCCTCTAGCTCTGCAGGCAGCGGGATGCCCAGCTCTCCCAGGTACAGTGAGAGGGCCTCAAAGGAGTCCTCCAGTTTTGAGAATGTTGGTCTGGAAAGAAAATGGGTTAATTAGGTAGGTGGAATACAAGCAGGGGAAGGAACCAGGGCCTGGGGCTCCATCACTTCCTGGTTGTATGCCTTCAAGTAAGCCTCCTTTTGCCTCTCTGAGAAATGGGCATAACACAGCACTATTGTTACCTCACAGGTGAGAAGGCTGGTCTGGCTAGTGCTAGTAGCTTAACAAAACCAAACATCCAAGAGAGAGCAGCCCTTCTTAGAGAAAATGCAACAATAAAAGGTGGGACTGGACAAAGCGCCTTCTTATTCTGCAGTGCCGGGACTGACGCCGGGGCCTCTGGCACTCCAGGTAAGTGCTCTACTCCTGAGCTATGTTCCCAGTGCCTTGTTACGAGTCGAAGCCAGACACCAATTAGAACACGTGCTTCCTCCCTAAAAGACTTTTTTTTTTTTTTTTGGGTGTTAATGGGGTTTGAACTCAGGGCCTCATGCTTGCTGGGCAGGTGTTCTCCCACTTGAGCCACTCCACACGCTCCCCTAGAAGCCTTCTTAAAGATCCCTTGTAGTCCTCAGACTTGCTGTTTCCACACCAATGGATTTGCCCAGAAGAGGCATTTCAGACTTAGAGATCTTCCCAAAGAGACAAAAACAGCAGTCTCCTTGAGCCACGAAAAGGTCTCTGCTGCCCTGAAATCCTAAGACATCTCAGGGTTACCTCTCTTCCACATTTTTTTTTCTTTTTGTGGTCCTGGGGCTTGAACTCAGGGCCACTCCACCAGCCCCTTTTTTTGTGTGTGAGTGATGGGTGTTTTTGAGATAGGATCTCACGAATTATTTGCTTGGGCTGGTCTCAAACCTCCATCCTCCTGATCTCTGTCTCCTGAGTCGCTAGGATTACAGGTTTGAGCCACCAGTTCCTGGCTCTTCCTTGTTTTTACTTAAGTGTTGTGTCACCCTCAGTGAGGCCTATCTGACTGCCAAAATTCAAATGTTCCTAAACCACCCTCTTTGTTTGACTTTTTCCCACAGTGTTCGTCACCTTCTGGTATTCGCTATAGTTTATTTATGGTATGTCTCGTGTATCAGCTGTCCTGGCTAGGCAGTGCTCTTCGTGACGAGCTAAGTCCCCAACTCTCCTCGATAGAATGTGAGTTCCATGAAAGCAAGCACCTTTGTTTTGTCCACCGCTATCACCTAAGCACTTAAGACAGCGCCTAACCTAGAGTAGACATTTACTACAGACTTTTTTTTCTTTTTGGTGGGACTGGGATTTGAACTCAGGGCTTTGTATTTGCAAAACAGGCACTCTAACACTTGAGCCACACTTCCAGTACAATTTGCTGTGGTTATTTTGGAGATGAGGGTCTCAAGAACTACTTGCCTGGGCTAGAACTGAACTGAGATCCTCCCAGTCTTGGCCTACCAAGCAGCTGGGATTATAGGCGTGAACCACTGGCGCCAGCCTAATACATGTCTGTGATGTACACAGACATCTAGAATGACTAAGAAGTAGCATTAGCAAACAAATAGTGTGTAATTTTAACAGTTTTCTCTCAAACTCTTACACTGTGTTACTGAAGGATTGTAGTCTTCTGGCTGATAAAGGAACAAGAGAAAGATTTTCCTGCCAGCAAATTTCAAGGTAGACCTTTGAAAATCTTTTTCTAAATAAAGATTGTGTACCAGCTGGTTATCATAGGATGGTTGGGGTGAGGAAAATGTTGAGAGGGACACTGTTTAAGAGATAGTACAGAAGACATATTTACTATGAGATGTGTGTGTGTGTGTATTTTAACTTTATAAAAACATTTTATTGAGGCCAGGTGCAGTGCCTTACACCTACAATCCCAGCTACAAGGGAGGTAGAGCTTGGGAGAAGAGTAGTTTGAGGCCAACCTAGGCAAAAAGTTAGTGATACCCCATCTTAACAAATAATCCAGGTTAGGTGGTTCATGCCTGTGATTCCAGCTATGCGAGAAGCATAGATAGAAGGATCGTGGTCTAAGACCTGCTCTGGGCAAAAATGTGATGCCTTGCCTGAAAAATAACGAAAGCAAAAAAAAAAAAGGGAGGGTGGGGTGCTGGGGGTGTGACACAATGGGGTGCTTACCTAGAAAGCAGGAGATCCTGAGTTCAAACCCAAGTACTGCCCTCCTCAGAAAGACCCAAAAACCCAGTAACAAAAACCTTTATAGAGGTAAAAGTCACATAGTATAAAATTAACCATGATATGTATTGTTTTTTTTGTGTGTGTGTGTGCTGGGGATCCAACGTGCTAGGCAAATGCTCTAACACTCGGCTACATGTCCAGCTCCAGCCCCATTTTTTTTTCAGTACTGGGGTTTGAACTCGGGGCCTCACACTTGCTAGGCAGGCACTCTACCGCTTGAGCCACACCTCCAGCCCCAGCCCCATGATTTTTGATAGCAGAAAAACATACAAAGATTCTAGTTTTCTGAGATTCCAAGATGGCGGCTAGAGGGAGGAAGCAGAAAGCATGCTTCCTAAAGATTCTAGTTTTCTAACTCATAAAGACATGGGGGCAACTTTGGTAATACTGAAAGTTCTTGCCTGACAAGAATGGGGCAAGTTTTTGTGTGTTTGTTTGGGTGAGACTGGGGATTGCAAAGCAGGGGCTCTACCCTTCAGCCGCTCCTCCACTCCGAACAGAGGCTCTTTGAAGGCTTTTTTAAAAAGGCGTAATTAGTCAAATGCACAGTTGCTCACTGCAGTTAATGCTTACTGTAAAGAGAAACTGAAAGACATGAACATCGTTACGGAGATTGTAATGTCACTAAATAGAATTTCATGTTGTCAACAAAAATGGTAAGGAGGAAGACTGGGATAGAAAATAAAAATTTTACTTATTTACTATGAAAAATTCTGTGTGGACATAGACGGGGAATATACAAGGCTTTGCGTTAGAATGGCTTGGGGGAATTTTCTTCTTTTTATTATCATCACTATTATTTTAGAGGCAAGGTTTCGCTCTACAGCCTAGGCTAGCCTTGAACTCACAATTCTCCTGCCTCAGTCTCCCAAGTGCTGTGGATACTATGATTTTTCAAATTAAAAAGTTTTTTAGCTACTCAGGAGGCAGAGATCAGGAGTGTTGTGCTTCCAGGCCAGCCCAGGCAAACAGTTCGCCAGGTCATACCTTGAAAAAATCCCCAATACAAAACAAGGCTGGTGGAGTGGCTCAGGTGGTACAGCACCTGCCTAGCCCTGAGCCCAAATCCCAGTACTGCCAGAACAAATTGTCTTTGTGCTGAGGATTAAAGCCAGGGCCACGCACATGCTAGGCAAGCTCTCTACCACTGAACTACACTCTCAGCCCAAAGTTTCTTCTTTTGAACCTTTTTTTGGCAGTACTAGGGTTTGAACTCAGGGGTTCATGCTTGCTAGGCAGGGGCTCTATCACTTGAGCCATTTTGCCAGTTCTTTCTGGTGTTGGGTGTTTTTGAGATGGGAGATGGGGGTCTCACCTTTTGCCCTAGCTGACCTTGAACAGAAATCTTCCCGATCTGTGCCTCCCAAGTGGTGCCCAGCCTAAACTTAGTTATGTATTTATTTTTTGATGGGACTGGAGTTTGAACTCAGGGCTTTGCACTTACAAATAAACTCTTTTAATGGCTTTGTCTCTGTATCCTATGCAACTACTATGCCTTTGTCTCCTTCCCCTCAAATATGGTATATGTTAGAGTGGTCAAGGCTTTAGTGTTTGGCAGGTACACTCTTGAGCTCAAGGCTGTCACCACCCCTTGTGCCTGGAAAGGGCTCAGGGCTGGTCTGAGGCTGGGACAAGCATCCCAGAACCTGTGAGCTGGGGAGAAAGGGGTGAGAGACCTACCTGCTCTCAGGCTCCAGTTTGCAGCAGATCGCAGCGAGGGGGAAGAAGGCTGGGGGACAGTCTGTGGGGACAAACTTCTCCCAGAAAAGCTTCACGTTGAGGCCAAAGTCCAGTGTGCGGGGCAGGCAGTCGGGATCCGCGTACACCTGCCCAATGATCTGCAGGTGAGAAGACAGCTGCTCAGGAAGCTCTAGGAGGGATGTGGGCACATGGGGGCGCAGCAGAGGAAGCTGTAAGAATTTAGAGTTCCCTGTACCCCTATCTCTCCAAATCTTGCTAATCCACACCTATCTCCACTTACGAGTCTGGTTACTGAGGAGGGCTTAGGAGAGGCCTCACTGCAGCAGAAGCAATGTCAAAACTGGCACCTGCAGGCTGGTAGCTTCCACTCATCCCACCTTGCCCTGCCGGTGTCCCCTTGACTTTGCCAGAGTCAAGGCTCTGTGAGGCAAGGGGCTGGGTTCCAGCTTAATGCTTTCTACACAGCTGATGTTCAATCGCTATAGATTAAAGGAACTAGCTTCTTAAAAAACCTTCCTTCATTATTCTAGCCATCCTTGGTCTCGCCTGTCCTCTCCCACTCACGACTCTGTGGGAATTGCAGAAGCCTGTGCAAGTGTCTGTGCAACTGAGCGCTTTGAGATATACTGAGCTAGGCTGCCGCATCACTGCTAAACTACTCATGGGTGCAGGAATCTTTCCAGGACTCACTCTGAACTCCACAGTGCCTACCATGGGGCTGGCATTTCTGGAGTGGCAACTTCCACTTGTTGGGCTTAGACTAGGGGCACCACCAAGGCCTGGGAAGGGGGAGCAGGGGGTCCTGGGAACGGCCACATTTGGCCTAAGGAACATAAGCAATCACATATGTTTCTCCTACTGGAATTCTGAGTCTCACTTGCCCCTTACTGGTCGTGTGACCATAAGCCTGCGACTGCCCCTTTCTGAGCCTCGGCTTCATGGGACCACTAGGATTCAAATGAGGAATGCATCATAAATAATAAACTCCTACACCCATGTTCCCAGGTTTTTGTTTGTTTGTTTGTTTTGGTGGAACTGGGGTTTGAACTCAGGGCTTTATACTTGCAAACAAGGTGCTCTACTGCTTGAGTCACACCTCCAGTCCATTTTGCTCTGGTTAAATTAGAGATGGGGACTCTCAAGAATTATTTGCCCGGGCGTCCTCAAACTGTGATCCTTCCAATCTCAGCCTCCGAAGTAGCTAGAATTACTGTTGCCCAGTTGATTTTATGGCAAACTCTTTACTCTTAGGAGGAGCTCAAATCTGAGGCTGGGCAGAGCTGGGCTGGGTGCACATGGGCTCTGTATGACGCTTACCTCACAGAGAACGATCCCGAAGGAGAAGACGTCCACTGTCTCATCGTAGCTTTTTCCTTGGGGAACAGAGGCAAACAGCTGTGAGGCTTACGTCCCCGAAGCCCTTGGGCGCCAGCATAATGCTCTGTACACAGCAGGTGTTCACTGTGTACTAAGCACCAAGAACTAGGGCTCGAATAGGTTCTGTGCGGATGTGCTAGAGGCTGCTCAGGACAGGCACCATTTGGAAACCAGCCTGGCCTGCGGTGGAGGGACCTATTACACACACTGCCCAGGGTGCAACTGCATGGCACAGTGGGAAGGCACTGCACCCAGATTCTTCCAGGCTCCACCATTAGCCGGCTGTGTGATCCTGGACAAGCCATGGAACTGAAAAGGGTTATTCGTAGACCATTTCTGACACCTTGCCACCCTCTGAGTTTCAAGAATGTCAGCCAGCCTCCCTGGCCATTTTGAGCAATATCCACCAGGGGGCACCACACTTCAGTTTTCAGGCTGGAGAGTGGGTGACATGGCCTGAGCTCTGGGCTACCCCTTTTTTTTTAGTTTTTTTTTTTTTTGGTGGAACTGGGGTTTGAACTCAGGGCTTTGTGCTTGCAAAGCAGTGAGCCACACCTCCAGTCCATAAAATTGGTTGCTTTTGGTTTTTTTTGGTGGTACTGGGGTTTGAACTCAGGGCCTTTCACTTGCTAGACAGTCACTCAACCACTTGAGCCACACCCTCAGCCCTTGGGCTACCCTTAAGGCACAAAATCCAGTCAGACCTCACCCTATTGGCAAGATGGCACCCCAACCAGTTCCCAGCCTTGAGCTCAGAGAGGAAAGAGTTTGTGCGGCCCAGCTTGACAAGGGTTAAAAAGCATCCAGCCCTCAGCTCTGAGTGCCAGGCCTCCTCAGGAGCTAGCTGTAAGAGGTGGCTTCAGGACTCACCGTTGAGCATCTCAGGGGCCATCCAGTAGGGGTTCCCCACCACTGTGTAACGCTTCTTGCGGTCATTCTTGCGCAAGGTGCGTTTCTTCGTGCTGGCCTTCTCCACTGGGGACCTTTTCCTCTCTTCTACGATGAGACGTGACAGTCCAAAGTCTGCCACCACCACAGTCTTGTCCTGGTAGGGCAAGGGGTAAGTCAGGCCCTGGTGGAGACACTCTCAAACTTGCCTCTTGGGGGGTCAAGGGCAGAAAAGCCACGGAGAAGGGGAGTCACAAGGAGAGTCAGAGCAGAAAGCTCCAGCAGGTCAATGTGGCCAGGCATTTGTGTCTTGTTAGTTTGGTATCTATATGCCCACAGCAAATTCCAAGCCAAAGTGGGGCTCAAAATGGAGCCACCAGAGCCCTGGAGGGGGAGGGTAGGCTCGAGAACCTGGAGGGCGGAACTCATAGGTGGGCCAGGGGATTTCTTTTTTTTTTTTTTGGCTGTACTGGGGTTTGAACTCAGGGCCTCGTGCATGGCAGGCAGGCAGTCTACCACTCGAGCCACTCCACCAGTCCGTGGGGTTTCTTATGTTTTAGTTTTGCCATGTTCTGCCTTGTTCCTAGAAAGATTTGAGGTTGCTGCCAGAACTAGGGTAAGAGAGAACAAGATGAGGCAGAGGCAGTCAGTGTGGGGACTCTGGGGAGATAAATTCCTTGGGCAGCTACAGGGCAGTCATGTGAAGAGGGATTAACGTTGTGTGATGTGGGTCCAGAGGGCGGAGTCAGGGCCACTTGGTGGACACCCAGGAAGCTGGATTGCAAATGAACAGGACAAACAGCATTGTAACAACTACAGCTGACGGACAGGGGGAGGAATGCTAGTCTCAAACTGGTCATTGTGAGTTTATTACCTCTGTCACTTCAGGCTGAGGTTTCAAGTGCCAGTGCTATAAAATGGAGTTGGTGATGAGCAGATTTAGGGGACTGTTAGGGCAAAGCCAGGTCAAAGTCACAGCTCTATCCATATGCAGCTATTGAACTTCTGGGGTCCTGTGTTTTTGGTTTTTTTTTTTTTTAATCTTTTAAACAGTGGTGGGGACTGATTCCGGGGCTACCAGCATGCCAGGGAAGTGCTTACCACTGAACTACATCCCCAGCCTGAGGTCCCTTCTATCAAAAGCTTGCAAGGACTGCAACTGAGAGGAGGTGAAACTGTCTTCATATGTGCGTGTGTCTGGGAGCTTCCAGAAGACAGAGGACTTTGGAGACAGCAGGAAAGGCAAGAAAAGCCCCTAGGCAATACCTCTGGCCTGAATCCAGAGGGGACCGTCAGCTTCCTTTGCGACAAAGAAGCCAGGAGAGCTGACCTCGGGGAGACTCAGGTCAGGCCTGAGTGTTGGGACATACCAGCTTGATGAGACAGTTGTGTGAGTTCAGATCCCGATGGATGATGCACATGGAGTGCAAATAGGCCTGAAACAAAAAGGACAGTATGTCAGCCAGACCCTGACTCCCATATAGGGGCCATGGAACCTACTCTCCCGGGCCATGCCTGCCCTAGCTTCAGGACCCAGTCTGATGGGGGAGGGGGCAGGGTAGAGAAATGACCCAAACAGTGTATGCACATGTGAATAAATGAATAATAAAAAAAAAAGAACCCAGCCTGAACACAATGGGGCCAGGACCCCTGTGGCCACACCCTATCCCAGCACCAAGAGAAAGCTGCCAGCTCTCGCCCATCCTAATCACCAGCTCAGGGCTGCCCTAAGCCCTCACTGCTCTCCCTAAGGAGTCCAACTGCACTGGGCCCTGGCCCTTGCAGTCCCCACCACTCTGCCCATTTTGCTTAGATCCAGGCTATCTGAAATCAGCATCCTCAGTTGCACTGCCTCTTCTCTCTTCCCCTCCTCCAACTCCTAACTGCAGCCACTTTGGATCCCTCTTGCCTGTGATGAGGAAGAAGTGATCTCCTTCCTGGTCTAACTAATTGTGTTCTGACATTCATTCAGTCCACCCTTTGCACTAACAACTTTCTGTTGACTGTTTTCTTCTCCAGTCCTCTACCTCTGGCTCTTCTCACTCTCAGAAGCCATTTCCTTTTTCCTACTCTTCGAGCAAATGTGGGAGATACTGAAGTCTTCCAGCCCCCCGCAATTCCTAAGCTGCTCACACAATCAGGCCAGGCTGAAATGCCCATGGAGCTCTTCCTGCATGCTGTAACTCATGACTGACTGCCCACAGATCCCCTCCCCACAGGCTGTCCACACCTCTCCTGTGCTCATTGCTTCTGAGGCCCCTGTGTGTCTGCTTTTTCCTTCCAGCCTTCCTAAAGCCATCTGTCACATGCTGACCTGACCTCTACCAACCACGTGCATGCCTCTTCCATCCCCCAGCTCCAGCAGCCCCTTCTCTGCCGATCCAGGTGACCAGCAGCCCATCTGGTCTTCCTTCCTCCAACAGCCAGTTTCCTGCCCAGGAGCTACGGAGAAGTTCTGCTAGTAGAACCGTCTCAGGAGGCACCAGTCCTGGCTTTTCTCAAACCTGTGTTTGACCATCACTGTTTGGTAAGTGGCACCACATTTGAGGCGTGTCATGCCATCCTGACTCCCTCTCTACTCCTACTCCCTCACTGCCAACTGTTTCTCCATTCTGACTCTACCCTGCCTCCCAATTTCCTGTTCCCACCTTAATTTAGAAACCTAAAATGTTTCATGGGCTCCCCTACCCGGTTCTCTCCCTGCCCAAGGCTTTCCCAAGTCTACCCCAACCTACTGATCACTTCAGACACACCTGAGAAAAAGCCCAGCTCTGGTACAACTTTCTTGCTTAAAAACCTTTTCTATCTTTTTTACTTTCTACATAGTCGAGATTCCTTTGCTTAAAACACAGGGACCTTAATCTAGCTCCAGTCTACTATTCCAGACTAATTCTGTCTTCGTGGACCCCCTGTAGAAGCAGTGGCTAAAATATCATGTGACGGGGTCAGGCTGAAAAGCCCAGGTCCCAGTTTTGTCACTTTCTAACCTCAGCTTCTTATCTGGAAATGAGTGTTGTCATGCGAAACGAACACCTTCGTGCCTGCTGTCAGTCTCTCTGCTCAGTGCCTGACACGTGGAAAGCACTTGGTACTTGTTAGCTGCTATGATTGCCACAACTGGATTCATTTGTCCTCGGGTAACAGGCACTCTCTTCCCTCTTCTGTCCTCCCAGGTCTTCACTGCTGTCATCACCTAAACCTCAGGGCCTCTATGTCACCAGGAACTCATGTCTAATTCTGGCCCATCTTTCAGGGCTCGTCTAGAACTCAGGTCCTCCTCTGATTCCCTAGGCGGTGAGGTCCTCTTCTTGCGCCCAGGGCCCTCAGCATGCAGACATCCCTGTGACAGCAGAGCTACCTCACGCTAGAGTCCGCCTCTTCAGTTTGCCTTGTCCATGTCCTGTTTCCCCTTAGAGACCTGGAATCCTTTGAGAACAGAGCTGTGGGCTGAGAACAGTTGGCCAGGGCCAATTTCACGGGCACAGAAAGAAAATCAACCGTCATGAGTCACTCAGGGTGGTGTCTGCCTTCCAGTGCAGCCCACGACTGTCACACCTCTCCCTGCTCTAGTGTTGGCAGGGCCGTTGGCAGACTCACCATTCCAGAGGCGATGCCTTTCGCGAACCTGACCTTCTGTTGCCAGGGGAACCGGTCCTGCAGGATGGAAGAATGTCCGTCAGAGACCTGGGGTCCTGTCCCACTCTGCGCCAGTGTGGTACGCCAGTGAAGCATCTGTCTGTGTCCAGTCTCGCCTAACATGGTCCTCTGGGGACGAAGCAAGGCTCCTCTGGCCTTCAAGGTTCCAGGGTAGTGGGGGCTTAGGTGTCCCTCTGACAACCCAGGAAGCTGTTGGTGGCTGTGGGTGGGCACTCACCACGCTGCGTAGGAAGTCCTTCAGCGTGCCCCCTTCAATGTACTCTGTCAGCAGGTTCAGCCTCTTGTCCTTGTACAGGACGCCAATGAACTTGAGCACATTGGGGTGGTCAAGGCTGCGCATCACTTTCACCTGGGGGTGGAGAATCAAGGACGGTGAGTGAATAGCGTCCCACCCTTCTTCTTGCCCCACCCCCAAAGAGTCGGCTTGGCAAGTATGGCTGCCCCTCCTGCCTACCACCTGTGTGATGTAGCCAGGCACCAGAATCAGGGAGAGGGAAGACCTCCGCCACACAGGTGAGGATGGCCTTACAGGCCTCACCCTTGGGAGCCTGCCTTTCTAGGAACAGTTCTGGGGGACTAGAGCGGGGAGGCCCAAGAGTGAGACAAAGGCCTGAGGAGAAGGGTGCAACACCTGGACCTCAGGTGTCACCCAACTGCAGCTGCTCTGTGGAACAATGTGGGAGGGGCAGTAAAACCTGGGTGGATCTCAAGGGGTGTCATTTCTGTGGGAGCCCACTCTAGGCTCCCTTCGGGGTGTTTGGGTGGTGATTATAACTCCAAATTTTACTAAACTGGTCTGTTTCCATGTCTATCACCCTCATAATCTAGGTGCTCCTTAGAATCACATCTGTACCTCGCTTGTGTTCTTGTGTTATCTTTAATAATTATTTGTTCATTGAACAAATAATTACACAGTAATTTACAGGGGTGGGGATGTTCCTCTAGCACTCTTTCCCCTCCGTCAGAGATTGCAAGTTCTTTCTCCTCCCCTCCCTTCCCCTTCTCTCCTTCTCTCTCTTTCTCTCTCTCTCTCTGGAGTACGAGAGACCGAACTCAGGGCCTTGTGCTCTTGAGCCATGCCCCTGGTCCCTAAGCTTTCTCTTGAAACCAGTTATTTGTAAAATTTTTCCTGTCCCAGTGGTGACACCAAACTTCCCAGCCTTCCACCTCTACACCCTTTTATTGGACAGGGTCTTGTTATGTTGCCTAAGTGGCCTAGAACTCCTGGGCTCAAATGATCCCCTTTCCTAGGGCCGCAGGTGCAGTGGCAATTTCAAGCCCACCTTCTTACCTCAGTCAGAAAAGTCTTCTGTGTCTCCTCATCACATCGAATTAACTCCTTCATGACCATCACTTTACCCGTGGCTTTGTGTGTCACCTACAGGGAGGGTGACTGTTAATGGTGCAGAGACCAGAGGTAGTTCTGGAGAACTGTGAAAATGGGCTGGGGATGAGGCTCAGTGGTAGAGCGCTTGCCTAGCATGCGCAAGGCCCTGGGTTCGATCCCCAGCACTGCCAAAGAAAGGAAAGAGAACCTATGCAACTGGTCAACCTGTCCCTCGGAAGACATACTGGGCCAGGTCAGAGTGACAGAATACAGGTGTCAAAGGTGCAGCACAGGGCAACTGGGACTCAGAAGGAAGCAAACCTTCCTCCCTGGAGAGCTGGGCATGCACAGAGGTGAGACTCCAGAGAAGGGAGGTGGGGAAGGAGGCAGGAGGGTACACTGCCAAGCCAAGCAGGAGCTCTGTTCATCTGGCACAGGAGTGAGTCTGCTGGGTGAACAGAAGTCTGGAGGCAGGAAGGTGAGTGCCACAGACATGCACCAGGGAGCTGGGTGGGTGTGTGTGGGGGTGAGCTCTCCAGCCCTGTTGCCCCACAAGCTGAGATACACGGCTTACCTGACCCCCCCTCCCAGCTCTCAGCAGAGGAGGATAGAGAGAGAAAAAGAAAGAGAGACACAGAAGAGAGAGAGAGAGAGAGAGAGAGAGAGAGAGAGAGAGAGAGATAGGTTAATCTCTGAGACTGTTCCCAGGGTGGCAGGAGCCACCTCTATGTGCTCCAGCAGAGGAGGATAGAGAGAGAAAAAGAAAGAGAGACACAGAAGAGAGAGAGAGAGAGAGAGAGAGAGAGAGAGAGAGAGAGAGATAGGTTAATCTCTGAGACTGTTCACCAGGGTGGCAGGAGCCAACCTCTATGTGCTCCTTGCAGCATGGTCAGCACCAGGGCTTATGGGTACCTGACACACACACACTGACTAGTGGTGGGCACAGCTCACCCCAACCTGGGTCTCCAGAGCCTTAAGCTCACAGTACCACCTTCTCAGGTGGCTAGGCAGATGTGGTGGGGGGTACCTCCTACACTATCACCTGCAGCCAGGAAGGAGGCCTGGTGTCCTGCAGGGTGTGATGGGAACGAGTGGGGGTGGGGGTGGGGGGTGGGGGTGCAGCAGCTGCTGCCTGCACTCACCTTGATGGCCTGCCCAAAGAAGCCCTTCCCCAGGACCTCTCCGTGGATCAGGTCACATGGCCGGAAGATCTGCTGTGAGTAGCTGCTGGGGCAGCGGAGGGATTCAGAGCGGCTGATATCACGGCTGAGCAGCAAGGGCTCCTTGGGGGAGCTGGGGCCAGGTGATCTGGAGATGCTGTTACTGCGTCTGAGGATAAGGAGATGAGGGAGGACCGACAGTCCTCAGAAACTTTTTTTATGATGGTTTTTTCAAGATAGGGTCTCACGAACTATTTGCCTGGGCTGGCTTTGAACTGTGAGCCTCCTGATCTCTGCCTCCTGGGTCGCTAAGATTACAGGTGTAATGATGACTGTTTCTTTGACTTACTGCAGTCCTGCAAACTTCTCTCTGTGGTACACTCCTGTTTTACAGGGCTACCTGCACAGGACTGTAGCTGGATGGCTTCTGGCTTGTCCTACCCTATGGACTTGCTAGCTCTTGCTCTTTTGCTCTGCCTTCTGCTGATGGTGCCCACCAGAGTACAAAGGTGAGCTGTCCTCTCTCTGGCAGGGTTTCTCCAGGTATCTGAACGGCTCTCCAGCCACACCACATCTTCCCCTTTCCAGGTCATGTGTTTATAGCCCTTTTCTGCCCTCTGGTGCCCTGTCTCTAGTAACTCAAGGCCAAGAGGCAGCCAGGAGTGATGGGAACCACCACAGAAGGGCCCTGTATTCAAACACATGCCTAGCTAAGAGGGACCTGATAGACTTAGCCTGTTTGATTAGGGGCTGTATAAAGGACCTGATTCTTAGTTGCCATAACAGTATTCACATTGACTGAGTGCTCACCACCCTCTTCTGGGACTCCACAATTTTGTGTCCTTCTCACATTCAATCCTTACTAATTGATGAGACAGCACTTCTATCTTGCAACCCCACTTCACAGAAGAATAAACAGGCTGAGAGAGATGAAGTGATTTATGAAGGGAGGGGCTCAGCTGGAAGCCCTGGTATAGGTATTTCTGCCTGAGAGTCAGTGCTCTTCTTTTTCTTCTTTCCTCCTTTCCCTTCCCTTCCTTCTTTCTTTTTTGGTGGTACTGAGGTCTGAACTCAGGGCCTTGCATTTGCTAGGCAGGCACTCAACCACTTGAGCCATACATCTACCCTTTTTGCTTTTAGGTATTTTTTGAAACGGATCTTGCTTTATACCTGGCCAGCCTGAACCCTGTCCCTCCTATTTCCACTTCTCACTTAGCTGGGGTGACAGGTGTGTATCACCACGCACAAAATTTTTTTTTTTTTTAACTCAGGGTCTCACAGTTGCGAGGCAGGTGGTCTACCACTCGAGTCACTCTGCCAGCCCAAAGCCCAGTGCCCAGCTTTTTATGGGATGAGCTGGGGTCTCACTAACTGTTGTCCGGGCTGGCCTCAAACGTGATCTTCCTGATCTCTGCCTTCCTAGCAGCTAGGATTACAGACGTGACGCACCATGCCTGTCGTAGTCTGTGTCCTTGATTCCTGTAAGTCTCCCTGCCTGCGGCTCACACACAACACCAGTGCTCCCATCATGGGCCTGGCAGACTGAGGTGTGGGACTGGTCCTTCATGTCTTAAAAAACTTGCATTCATCTCTTTCAAAATCCTTACACTACTTATTTAATTCCATTTGTGCCCCAACTTCCATATTGCCCTCTAGGATCCAGCATCACTGTCTCCTGTCCAGCTCAGGAGTTTAGTGGACTAAGCCAGCTGACCCTCTGGTTTCTAAGGAAACCCAGCAGACAGCTGGCTTGGCACTGTGATTCCCATAGGGCAGCTGAGTCAGCACAATCCTTATAGTCTGTTCCCCACCAGCTGGTTCCCCTCCTGATGCTGCTGGTTTCCAAAAGCCAGCAGGGCCTCTGAGGGTGGACCTGGGACAGAACAGAGCCAGGGTGGGAGGCAGCACCTCAGGGAGCGTCTCCTTAGCGTTCCTTCCAGATTCTCCTTGGTGTCCAGAGGGCTGAGGGTGTGGGACTGCCCAGCATTCTGCATGTGGGCAGAAAGCTGGGCACCTAGCCGCAGATGGTCCAGGCGTTGGGTGACGGGGTCATGTTCAATCAACAGCTGTAGCGTCTGGCTCGTCTGGCTGATCGCTTCCTCCACCTGTGGCCAAGAGCAGTGTAAGGCTGACTCCCACAGGCTGCCCTGTCCCAGGCCGCCCACTGAGGACCCAGACAATCCAAGCCCAGTGTGTTCAATGCTCGACTTGGCTAGTGGTGGCCTCCACAGTGCCTGCTGCCTGGCATTCTGTCACCTTTCCCTTCCTGCTATCCTGGGAACCTGCTAGGCTGATTTGGGAGGCCACTAGTGGTCACAGGCTCAGTACCAAGATAAAGAGATGGGAATGGGAAAGGTGTAGGTCTGCTTCATGCCCCACCTCCACCAGACAGATTGGACACACACTGTACCTCCTCCACTCGGAGTGTGCGGACGGGGGTCCCGTTAATCTCCAGAATGCGGTCCCCAGGATGGATGGCATTGCGGTTGTTAGCACTAATGTGCATCCGGTTTACTCTAAGACACAAGAGTTGAGGGAGGGTGAAGACCTCCTAAAAACTCACCCGAACAATTCTGCTTTCTCAGGGAACACTCACCAAATCCCAGGCCCAGACCACCCCCACAAAAAAAGGCGACACCATTCCTAGGATGCTCCATCTCAGTGAAGGCCACTGTCACTTACCCCATGGCCTAAGCCAAACCCTGGGCAATATCTCCCCATCTGGAGCTCCCTCATTTTCTCCCTCCCTCCCCACCACCCGCCCACCCGCCTCTGAGAATTCTGCCTTCTCTCCATCACCATGGTTACCAACACCTCCCACCTGCATCACTCCAACAAGCTTCCTAACTTGGTCTCTGCATCTCTGGGCATTTCCCCTCTCCCATTCAACCTCTATGCCAGTGATCCTTCTAAGATGCCAACCTGGCTTCATCACCTTGCTGCTTACACCCCTCAACAGACCAACTGGATTGTCATAATCCAGGCCCTCCATTACCAATGGCCCCTTCTTTGGCAACTCTCTAAGTCCATACCAGATACAACCTCAAGACATCCAGTCTCCTCTGTCCTGAACACAATTCCCTCCCCTCTTTATCTAAGGAGGCTGAAGAGTAGACCTCACCTCCTGCTGACTTTCTCAACCCGAGTATCTCTCCTGTGTACCATAAGAGCCAGCTTCAGGTCTAAAACACAGTGTACGATCAGTACGCATAGGGTAATGCACGAGTGTCTCATAGCTGGTGTCACATGGACTTAGACTCTTTCCTCCTCTGGTCCCTGGTCTGGACTTGGATGGGTTCTTAAACTCTTTGGGCCACAGACCCTCTTTTCTCTCCTCCTTCCTCATTGGGTCCTCAACCAATAAAACAATAATCAAGGAGCACCTTCTGACGCCAAATACCGTCCAGGTCCCAGGCATGCAGTACTGAACAAGACAAAGCAAGTTTGTTCTAGAGTTTACATTCTAGTGGGGAGGACAGACAATAATCAAACTAGTACACATTCATCAAGTCGGATAATTTCAAAGAGCAAACATGATCTGAAACCTGACACCTGAAAGGTGAGAGATTCTGGCTGTAAGCATCTGGTAGAAAGAGGCCTTGGCACAGAGAATATGAAGTGTCAAGGCCCAGGTGTGGTTACAGCACAGATGGGGATGAAGGGAGCTCTGTGTGACCGAGTTCTAAGCCCACTGAGACCCATCTGTGGGCCCTGCTCAAGAACCTCTGCTCAGGGTTCCCCAAATACTCACTCTTTCACTTGCACAGTGGTGGCATAGTTGGAGCAGGCACTCTCCACAGACACAGAGAAGCCTCGCCTGCCCTCGGTGGTGGCTGGCATGGAGATGAGGGTGACAGAGTAGGGTAGCTGGTCCTGAACAGACTCTGTGGACAGCCTCTCAAACATGGGTGCCAGGACCACCTCATTGTGGCACTTCCCACTGGGGAGAGAGCACAAAGCAGGCTGAGATCCCAGAGACCCACCTGGAAGGCCACCAGCAACCACTGTGCCTTGTGGCTTGAAGTAACATAATCCCAGTCTTGCCACCACCCTCTCTTTGCTATGATTCTCCATGGAGGCCCAGAATGAGGAACCTGGGACTGGGACAGTGAGCCAGATCTGCAGGAGGAAGAACCTTGGCCTGGAGGTGAGATGGCTTGAGTTTTCTTGCTCTGCCTTTGACACACAGTCCTTGCCCCAGTCCCAGTCTCCTCCCTGAGACCCAGTTGACTTCTTTTGGGTTGGGTGAGATGGGTAAGCTCTGAGGAGTCTTTCCTTTACTGTGGGGCTCCTCAGAGAGCATCTTCCCAGCTAATCTCCCTCTGGAGGACTGCAGGTAGAGTGAGGCTATTCTCACAGCAGGTAAGGACAGAAGACAGAGAGAAGTTAACAGTCCTGCTTACAGGTTACAGAGCTGTTTAACAGCACTGCTGCAACAGGAACCCAGTCCTCTAACACTACAATCCACTCACACCACCACCTGTCCTCTTCCTGGACCCTCTTGCTGGGGAGGACAGAGGGCCACTCTTACCAGTAGAGAGTAGCGTGCTGTACCAGGGCGTAGGCATCTCCGTCCTCAATGATCACCTTGCAGCTCATACAGGCAAAGCACTCTGGGTGGTATTTAAACTCCCCAGCCACCTGTGAGCACATGGGAGAGGGTACAGGGGAGGAAGTGAGTCCTTGCTATTGCCAGAGTGGAGGTAGGGGTAGGTGAGTGACCCCAACCAGGGGTCTATCTACAGACCCCAGTCAAAATCCAGTCACTCGCTCTTTGCCCTAGAACTTCCAAAGGAAGTATCAGATTGCTATCTCCTGTCATTTCTGACATTGCAAAAACTGTTCTGGTCTCAGTCCCAAGAATGTGTCCCCGGGATATAACTGTCCCCACTAGAAAGGCTCACAGTTCCTCCAGCAGAGCTGGCAAGTCTGACTACACTTAAAGCCCTTTGTCTAGAGCAGGCATGGGAGGCAGAACCTCTCTGCCAGCCCATTCCAGGTTCTCCTTGTCTGAATCCCTGAATACCAGCTAAGGGAATCCTCCTCTCAACCTGTAACACTCTCCTTTAAGGGCCTTTTCCCACTGCATCATGTCTCCTCCCTGCCTGCTACCTACCCACTCCCAACACCGGACGATTAAGTCTTTGAGGAAAGGGTCACACCTGTCACTTAATAAATGCTCAATAGACAGCTGATGGGTGGGTGAATGAAGCGAGTGACCCTGGCCGACGGGAAGACTGAACGATGAGTGGCCGGGGAACTTAAACACTGTCTACAGATTTGATGATCAAGATGGGCAGAGATAAGAGTCCCTCCTTACCATGACAGGTCCTGTCATCAGCAGGGAGCACCCGTGGCAGAACTCCCCAAATTTCCCCCAGTAGTCTTGTGGCAGTAGAGTTTCCCATCTTTCTCATAGTACCAGTTGGTGAGGGAATCCTGGCATTCCGAACACCTGGGAGGTAGGACAAGAAAAGAAATATTCCTGGATCCCTGGAACCAGGCCACACAGGCTGTCCCTGGCTCCAAGGTCTAATGATAAAGTGGACAGTCTTTGGGTGGGGTGTGGTAGTGACTGCCTAGCCAGCACAAGGCCCTGAGTTCAAACCCCAGTGTGGAAAAAGAAGAGAAAGCCAAAAATAAAAATAAAAAACCAAAATGGACAGTTCTCTCTTCCACACAAAGCTGGGCTAAAGGAAAATTACAGTTTAGTGCCGTCTCCTCAAAGGATGCTGTGCAGATTGGATAGGGCTCTAGATAGCAGTTTTGTATTTTCTGCCTCTGGGAGCAGACTCTTTGGGTCTTAGAGATATCTGAGAATCTAAGGCAAGAAACATCTCCCAGAAAGATGCATATATAAAGAAAATGTGCATATAATTAGTTGTGGGGTGTATGTGTGTATGTCACAGAAAACCTCTGATCTAGACAGATACTTTAGTGAGTCAACGTGGCATATCACTTCCATTCTTCAAAACCTATCCATCACATGCCAGGGGCTGGTGGCTCACACCTGTAATCCCAGCTACTTGAGAGGCTGAGATCAGGAGGATGGAAGTTTGAGGCCAGTCTGGGCAAATAGTTCTTGAGACCCTATCTCCAAAATAACCAGAGCAAAATGGACTGGAGGTGTGGCTCAAGTGGTAGAGTGCCTGAGTTCAAAACCCAGTCCCACAGGAAAAAAAAATACCCATTACCAACAGCATTACTGATGGAGTGCTTTGCCACAAAGATGTTTAGCATACAGAAACTCAGACTCAGGCAAACCCAGAGTATAGGTCATTGTATAAGATAACTGGTCTTGACTCTTAGACCCAATACAAACACAATGAAAAACAGGTCACACTAAGGGGAGGTCACACATGAGAGAGGGAGGTTAAAAGAAAAAAGAAGGTGAATATGGCTAATGTACTTCCTATACAAGAATGAATATGGAACTTTTAAACCTGCTGAAATCACCAAAGAAGGGGACTAAGGTAAAAGGAGAAAAATAGAGGGAATGAAGCAATTTGGTTTCTAATACATATATACATGGAAATGTCACAAGGAAACTCCCTGTATAGCTATCTTAAACAAACAAAAATGTCATTTTTTTTTTACAAAACAAAGAACAGGAAGACAAAACCAGTCCTGTCTGGGGGGGGTGGAGACGGTGGGAGGGGGAGGATATAAAGAAAGGGGGTCAGAACGTGAATATGGTGGAAATATTCTGTAAACATGAATGTAAATGTAAAAATGAGGCCTGTTGAAACTATTCCAGGAACGGGGAAGGGGATAAGGGAGAATGATGGAGGGGGTGAATTCAACTGTGATGAATTGTAAGAAATTTTGTAAATGTTACACTGTACCCCCAGCACAACAATAACAAAAAAAAAAAAGTTAATATTGGGGGGAGAGTAGAATTTTTTGTTTTGTTTTTATGTAGTATTGGGGTTTGAACTCAAGACCTACACTTTGAGCCACTCCAACAATCCTTTTATGTGATGGGATTTTTTGAAATAGGGTCTCAGGAACTGTTTACCCTGGCTGGCTTCAAACCTTGATCCTCCTGATCTCTGCCTCCTGAGTAGCTAGGATCACAGGTGTGAGCCACCGGTGGCCAGCAAGAGTTTTTTTTTTTTTTTTTTAAAACTAACTTTCTTTTTTCTTTCTTTCTTTTGGGACAAGGTCCCATTATCTCACTGTACTGCCCAAATTGGCCTCAAACTGCTGGGCTCAAGCAATCTTCCTGCCTCACCCTCCAGGTGGCTCCCTCATGTTCGGCTCCTACAGAGATCTGAAAAAGCCTAGAGACACATCAATCAATGCAATGCTTCAACCTTGGATTTGGTTTTAGTTTGAAAAAGAAATAGCCATGAATTGACATTTTTGGGAACTATCTATCAATCAATCTATCTATCATCGCTATTTAATTTTTCGAGGGACCAGGGTTTGAACACAGGCTTTGCACTTGCAAAGCAGGTGCTATAAAGCTTGAGCCACACCTCCAGTCTATTTTGCTCTGTGGTTTTGTTGTTTTTTTTTTTTTTCCCCCTCAGTACTGGGGTTTGAATTCAGGGCCTACACCTTAAGCCATTCCACCAACCCTTTTTTATGATGGGTGTTTTCGAGCAAGTTAGGGTCTTGAAAGCTATGACTTCTGCCTCCTGAGTAGCTAGGATTACAGGCATGAGCAACGGGCACCCACCTGGAAATGAGGGAATTTTATTTGGACTGCATATTAGATCACATCGTAAGATCACTGTTCATTTTTGTAGACTTGGTAATGACGCTTGTCACCTGGCTGGGAAGTACTACCTCTCAGGTCAAGTATGTTCTCAGGCCCTGCCTACACAACTTCTCCTTTCTGAGTCTCCCAGCACACAGAGTTAAGAGCTCCCTAGTCAGTGCCACCTCTTCCTTCTAGTTAGACTCCCTATTCTTTTTACTGTTGTTGCTTTTCTTTTGGCAGCACTGGGGTTTGAACTTGAGGGCTCATGATTACTAGGCAGGAGCTCTAACATTTGACCTATTTCACCAGCCCTTTTTTTGTGATGGGTATTTTTTCAAGATATGGTCTCTCAAACTATTTGCTCAGGGCTGGCTTTGAACCATAACCCTGATCTCAGCCTCCCAAATAGCTAGGATTACAGACGAGAGCCACTGACACCCGGCTATTGTTGCTTTTTTGAGATGGGGTCTCACGAACATTGGCCAGGTTCTTCCTAAATTGCTTAAGGAATCCTCCTGTCTCAGCCACTCGAGAAGCTGGGATTACAGAAACCTACCACAGCACTGCTACACTCTCCCTATTCTCATTCTCCAGGCCTCGAACCACCCACGTGGCTACATCCTTACTTCTCAGAGGCAGTACAGGACTACAACTGGGGAGGAATTCTATTCCTGTCACTTACTAGTTAAGTCATCTTGAGCAACAATATTTCACTTCTCAACTGTTCCTCATCTGTAAAGTGGGCTGCTGTCAAAAATCAATGAACCAATGTATATCAAATGTATAGATAGCTTTATGTAAAGTCCTAGCACAGTAGGAACACAATGAATGTTAATTGCAATTAAAGATAACACATTACTGGCTGCTTTCTGCCATTAGCTAGGCAGCTTTGGATAATTTCTCTTACTAGCTTTATTGACAAAATGTACCTAACAACATCCCACCCCAAAGAACCAGTGTAAGAGCCCAGCACTGGAAGCTCACGACCGTAATCCCAGCTATTCAGGAGGCAGAGATGAGGAGGATTGAGGTTCGAAGCCAGCTTGGGCAAATAGTTCTTTAGACTGGATCTTGAAAAAAACTCATTACAAAAAAGGGCTGGTGGAGTGGCTCAAGGTGTAGGCCCTGAGTTCAAACCCCAGTATCACCTAAAAAAGAAAAAAGCCCGCACGAGGACTAAAGGACAAAGTAAGTTAATGTATGAGAATGTATTTTGCAAAGCAACAGCACTATTACTGTAATAACTGGTTAGGAAATATAGATGAAAGACAGATACACAAGGCTCCCTACCCTACCTTCCAGAAGAGGTCTTTTAAAGTTGATTTATCATATATTTATAATATAAGGGGATTTCACTGTGATAATTCCATATATTCGTACAGTGTTTCTTGAACAAGAGCCCCTCTCTCCATTATATTCCCATTCCCCCCTAGAAGAGAACTTAAACAAAACTACACCATCCAAGGTGACAGACCACAGGGAGGGCTACAACTTCTGACCACCGCAGGAGGTGGAGAAGGGAGACAGGAATGAGCTGCAGCAGCTGCAGACAGCTGCAGGGCTGGGAAGGTTAGGGAAGGAGTATTGAAAATCCCTTTATCTTTCTGGAGGGCCCAAATCCTCAAGTGCTCAACAGATACGAGTGGCCATCGTTATTGTGTGGCTTTTCCTACTTGTTCTACAAATGCTTAACTTCAGTTTTTTTTTTTTTTTCTTTTTGTGGTGCTAGGGATGGAACCCTGGGTCTTGCACATACTAGGTACGTGCTTTCCCACTGAGTTTTATAGCCCCAGAAAACTTCAGCATGCTGAGAGCTGGGTATGGATGCATGGAGAGCATAGATATGAAATGTCAAGAAGTGAGCAGTGGGACAGAGGTAGTTCTGGGCACATGGCTCAAATTCAAAGTAAGATACCATTGGATGAGCTCTGAATTAGGAGAGAGACCTGGGTTCTTGGATGCTACATGGCCTTGGATAAGCCCCTTTCCCTCTGTGGGCTCAGTTTCCCCACCTGTGAAATGAGACTATCCCCAGGTCCCCTCAACTCTGTGCACATCTGTTTTTCATGAGATGGTCTGAGGTTCCGCCTCAGATCTACTGCTAACCCCTAAGTAACCACGGGCCAGCACCTTTGATTCTTATTTGTGAAATGTAGCTGTCAAGAGTAGCAGTGAGGACCAAATGTGATTCTGAATGACTGTGAGGTGCCTAGCAGAGGGTCAGCATTACAAGTGGGGGCTTCCTTCTTGCCTCCTGACTTAAAACTCCCTGGGTCACCAATCTTTCTCCTTCACCAGACCATGACTCCCTGAAAACAGGGACAGGGTCCTAGTTATTCTCGATAAACTTCAGTGCATTCATCCAGCAGAATGGGCCCGGCAAATGTTCCAAACTGAAAATGGGGGCTGGTGGAGTGGCTCAAGTGATAGAGAGCACCTGTCTAGCAAAGCCTAGCAAGCATGAGGCCCTGAGTTCAAGCCCCAGTACCACCAAAAAAAAAAAAACAAAAAAACCAACAAAAAACTGAAAATGGCCTAGGTGTAGCAAGAACCAGTAGCCCCCCCCCCCCCCCCCCCCCCCCCCCCCCCCCCCCCCCCCCCCCCCCCCCCCCCCCCCCCCCCCCCCCCCCCCCCCCCCCCCCCCCCCCCCCCCCCCCCCCCCCCCCCCCCCCCCCCCCCCCCCCCCCCCCCCCCACCCCCCCCCCCCCCCCCCCCCCCCCCCCCCCCCCCCCACCCCCCCCCCCCCC